CTGAGGGATCGTAAAAAGTTTAATCCAGTTTAGTGAAGAGAAGGGCTAGGGGAGACATGATGGCAGTGTACCAATATCTCAGAAGTTGCCACAAAGAAGAGGGAGTCAAACTATTCTCCAAAGGACCTGAGGGTAGGACAAGAAGCAATGGGTGGAAACACATCAAGGAGAGAAGCAACTTAGAATTGAGGAGAAATTTCCTGACAGTTAGAACAATTAATCAGTGGAACAGCTTGCCTCCAGAAGTTGTGAATGCCCCAACACTGGAAATCTTTAAGAAGATGCTGGATAGCCATTTGTCTGAAACCATATAGGGTTTCCTGCCTAGGCAGAGGTTTGGACTAGAAGACCTCCAAGGTCCCTTCCAACTCTGGTATTGTATTGTATTGCATTGTATAATTCTCAAACAAACTAGTTAAATACATGTGAATTAATACTGAAATACACTGATTTTAAGATACAGAGAACTTGTTTAAATCATTGGTTTTAAAAATACTTGGAGTATTTCCTGCTCTAAAATTGCTATTAAATTGCTTTTCAATAGGAAGTCTTTTTGTTGTTGTAGAGTTCTAACTGTAATACATTAATACATTATTACTTAGGTAAGTAAATATTAAAACCAATGATAGATTTTAGCATCAAGTAAATTTTCATGCAATCCAAAAACAAACAAAACCCAAATAAACTAAAACCTTTAAAATGTTCAGATTTCTGCTTTCTAGAATAAGAGAAAAATGAATATTGTTTCTTAAAATGTCCCTGTCCTGAGCTTGAGAACCCTTCAGAACAGAGATGAAGTTACAGTAGCTTGCACAGCATACATACACTCCAGGCTACAATTTTGTTTTATTTACTTAATTATATTTCACACTTCTTAGCTGCCCATCTCTTCAGTTGGCCATGGACTTCCATTGGACAATTTTCCCTGTTGTTCTGAAAATCTCTTTACTTACACACACACACACACACACACACACACACACACACGGAGGGAGGGAGGGAGGGAGGGGGGGAGAGAGAAACATATATATACAAAACACATAGAGCTCAATTACATTTATGCACATGGAATTAGAACATTAAAATGCACATATATGCAAGCACAAAAACAGCCTTAAAACAAACATGTCTTTCCTAGATTTTTACAGCATTTCTCCAAAGTCTGTTGCGGAACTTTCACAGTGACATATCCAATGTATTAAGATTAGCAATGTATTAAGACAATGGCTATTTGGGAGTTGAAAATTAAATCCTTCGGATGACTGGAAAAATGATGAAAAATGCAATAGTGGTCTAAAAAAGGAAACCTGTACCAATGAAGAAAAAGTTATAACCAACATGTCATGAAAAAGGCCATCTTGAAGAAAAGCTCAGAAAATGCTCTGGATTCAAGTTAAAGTAACTTCAACAGATGCTTACCTATTTAATGGAATGTTCATGAACACTTTCCATTAAAGTGTGTTAAGTTCAGTTAAGGACAGACTTTGTTATGCATTTCTAAATAATTGCATTGAAAATACAATCTACCACACACCTCTTCTCATAATTAATGTGGCTTTTAGAAAGAAAACTAAGCCCAGATAAGTCTTTGGAACTTCAATAAGCATAGCTTTAACTATAATTCATTGCATTTGACATTGCAATTGAATGGCATGTGAATTACAGCAACATACTGTAACAGTAAGCCTGAAGCAAATTGTCCTAGCATTCTTCTAGTTTACTACCATAGCAACCCCTTAATTCAGTTAATAAGATGCAAAGTATTAAATTACAATATTGGCATACTTGTAATGTTAACCCATGTCTTCAGTAACACAGTAGTTATATAATCTCATTATATAATTCAGTGTTTTTGAATTTGCAGTAGCTTTATAAAATGATTAGCCTTTCTTAAAATTACCAAGATTGTAAGCCCTTTGAAAAATCAACAAATTTCTTATATATCTGCTTTATATCTCCTTTTCCATTTCTTCCCATTTATTATATAAATCCCATCAAATTATTTAAACCCTCTATCTATGATTAACTGATATCATCCATCTTCTAAAAAATCACAATTTTATAGTAACTCTACCTTCTGCAACAAATCATTATTTGTGTA